GGGACCCTGCTTGCAGAGGTTCCAGCTCATTTGGAAAATTTAATATAGAAAGCTTCTCTTAGCTGGAAAACTTGCAAGCTCGGCTGAATGCATTAAACAGGGGAGACTTAAAAAAGGAAGAGCAGACAAATTAGGCTGATAATAAAGGACATGAAAATGACCCTGAGCCAAGAAAAGTTTTCCTTGTGTGATTTTTGGAAAATGTACAGGATGTGCCAAAGCTATTGTAAAGACCTCCTGTAACTAAAATATTTTTAATAACAAAAGCATCCTGCTTTTATGTTGGAACCATATAACGAACTGAAGGGGGGTGGAGGGGTCCAGGGGATATTGTATTAAAGGGCCAGTAAATCTGTCTGAAAAATCAGGATTTATGAGTCTGTTTACTCACCAGCATCAGGTGTCATGGGATTTCAAAGCCTTCTTCTGGATGGTACTGAGGGAAACAGAAAGCTTAACCATACATTCAAACTGAAAGGAGAAGAAAGAATAAATGCAAACCTAGGGTTTCACTTGTTCCTTTTTGAACACATTAGAAGCAGGAATTGAGTATCTTGTTTGAAGTCCATGTATTGGGCTTCAGGCATTTTACACTGGAGAAACGCATGAAAAGTTCTATCAGCACTATCATTGATTTGATTATTTGTTGCAATGGGAGGCTTGGCTTTAGCACTCCCCAGCATGTGCTAAACTTCGTGAAGATACAGTTGAAAAGACAAGTGGGAATATAGTCATTCTCTCTGCTGTAGGGCTTCCAGGCTCGGCATGAGACCTGGTGAAGTATCTTCTTGGTATCAGAGTCTTCAGTGACATGGTACTGACTACAGCAGTAGTCATCCGCATCAGCAATAAACTGAGCCCAACAGAGAGTTAGTTTAAAAAGTATGCCTGTTTTATGCAACAGGAAACTAAATATAGAGACAAACTGCAAAGGTTTCCTCAGTAGGAGCCTCCCTAATATATCTATGAACCAGTTAGTACAAACTTTATCTTGTGGGACAATCAATTTCTTTAGCATGGAGCTGAATGGAAGCCTAGAAGCCTTGCTACCAGACATGAGCAAGGACAGCTTTGCATTGATTGAATATGGGAGTCAGATATAAGTTGTGATTAGCAGTGTTCATAACTTTAGGCTTGTCTTAACACTTGAATTTAATATGAAAAAATCATTTTTGGAGTGCTCATAATGTATAAAATGTGCTGATTTTTTTTTCTTTTTGCTTTCTTCAAACTAAGAAGTTGAAGTATTGAGAAGACAAATATAGCACAGACATTTTCTCACAGACACAAACAATTTCTATATACAGAAGTGTTCAGCTTAGTCTGTCTGAAAGGCCAATGCCTGCAGTAGGAAAGTGCCATTGCATCATTGCAATCAGTGGGATTATGTGTTTTTAAAATAGTCTTTGACAAATAACATGAGACGAGATAATTGAAAATGATCTATTGGGAATCTAAAAATCAGGAAAGTTTTGCACCTGTTCCATTTTTACTCTGCTTTAATTAAAACCCTATTAGTTTGATGCAAGATTCAGTGCAATTTTGATTTTGGACTTTTGACTTCACATATTTAACAACAGATTAATGTTGCTGCCACAAAATATCATTAACAAAACATGCTTTGGATAGTTTGGAAGAGAGGGAAACTGTGTGCAAATGCATCACAGGCTTAATGAATGTGGGAAATAGATTTAGTGCTACAGGAAAATTCCATGGCATAGCTTTTTGCCAACAATTTTGTCCACTGGAAATACTATTCTCACCCTTTTGCCTCCCTGTCTCCTCTCCTTCTCTTAGGTTAAGTGTGCATATCTCTGCATCGATGTCAGAAACCCTCTTACAAGAGCTGACTCTAGGTCTTTAGGGTGCAGTTGATAACTCATTAGAGTAGTAGTGGGATATGGCTGTGTGGGCAGCCTCTTGCTGCCTTCAGGAAGTGTCATGAATGTGTGGGAGTTTTTTCAAGGTGTTTTCAAGGCAGCCACTAGCACAGTCCTCAGGTGTGTTAAACCAGTGGCAGCAGGAGAAGATGGCAGGAACTATTTCATTGCAGTCACATGCAGACTGGGAGGATGGAGCCAGACAAAAGCATTAAAGGTTTGTTCCTGCACCATGATGCCTCCGTTAATTGTAACTGCTAACTGAGGCATCTCTATCTTGTGATCCACTCCATGGATAGGCAATAAGGCTTGGAAAAGCAAAGTGGTTTGTTGTGTTAGAAAATGTGAGAACATAAATTAATATTTATACCTGAGAGGTGGGTGCAAGGAGAATGGAGCCAGGTTCTTTTCAATAGTTCCCAGTCACAGGACCAGAGGCAATGGGCACAAACTGAAACCCAGGAGGTTCTCTCTGAACATCAGGAAACACTTTTTCACTGTGACAGTGACTGAGCTCTGGGACAAGGTGCCCCAAAAGCCTGTGGGGTCTCTCTCCTTGGAGATACTAAAAGCTCTCTGGACATGGTCCTAGGCAGCCTGTTCTAGGTGATCCTAGGCATGAGCAATGGGGCTGGACTAGATGATGTCCGGAATTCCCTTCCCGCCTCAACCATTCTGTGATTCTGTAACATAAAGAGTTTCAGTCTCCCTATATCAGTGACTGTTAATCTTTTCCAATCCAAACAGGACTTCTTGCAGTATATGGTCTGAGCTGCTCTTGTCTAAATGTAGAGGATAGATTCATTGGTAGTAGGTGGTGGCAGATGTATTCGCAGCAGCATGTGCTCTACTTCCACATAAAATTTACTCCCAAGTGCATGGATTATATCTAAAATTATTTTCTGTCTAGCTCTCAAACACATTTATAGTGTAGTCAGGGAATAAATACTTTTTGAGAATGTTGGAATTGGTGTGAGTTACAGAAATAATGGATGTTGTGTCCAGTTTCATGCAAGTACTAACTTGTTTTAAGACAGTATAACAACATCTAATTTTCACATTAATCCTCTCACAAAGTTTTGTTAAGAATCCTGTAAAATGAAAAATCTACATGAAATCAACTGGGATGAATTACTGCTGTGGGCTTAACTTTTATGAGCTGTGTTCTAAAAATGGGAATAAATTGTCAGGAGGATGGATAATTGAGCATATCCTTGTGACAGGGTCCTCTTATGTTTCCAGAGTGTTTTGTTAGACAACAAGCTTGACAGTTTCTGTGGGAAATAACCACTTGTTCTCTTCCTAGTGTAAGGAGCATGACCTGGCCACAATTAACCAGTTGCTAGAGGACCCAAAGTTGACGGCAATGAAGTACAGAGAGTGGAGGAACACAAACATCATGCTAGTCCAAGATATTTATCAGCAGCAGGAGGCCCAGGACATGTCCACAGAGAACATTGAGGAGCAAGAGCTGACTCCACAGCCTATCACTGAAAGTGCCATCTGAGGCCATGGTTCAATGGTTCATGGCAAGATTTTTCCTCAAGAGTCTTCACATACAGGCATTTTAAACTGCTGCATTTTTAGGTTTGTTTTATCCAAGTGTTCTTCAAGAGGAAAACAACCACTTCTGCAAAGCTTTAATTCCTCCTGCAAAACTTATTTCAAGTCAAAAGGGCAAATCTGCTGAATTAAAAAAGCATGCCTGAAACCTGGACTGCATGCCTGAGAAGACTTTTTGATGAAGCAGCAAAGAAATGTTTTTGTATCTTAGGAGAAGTAAATTAAATATGTCCAACTCCTGGAAGCCACAGAACTGTATAATATGAACTGCATAATGTGAGATCCTTGGGGTTGTTTTAACCATGTAACTTACTGTTAAAGGAAGCTATAACAATGCCAGCAGGGCATAGTCTACTCTTTACCTTTTTATCCTGTAAGGTAACCTGATGTATGCATTTTCATCTCTACATTAATTCACTTTCACCACTCTAACAGTTTAAACTGAGACAAATATGATAGTAATTATGCATGACTTTATGCTTCAGACAGCTGTCAGGCACCCACTTTGTGCTTTGCCTGATGTTTTGTGAATTTCAAATTTATTTATGGACTAGATCAAGGTATTGTCTCTCTACATGAAGAAGAGAAGATCTCTCAATGTTTGCTAACATGTAATTCAGTCTTCAGTGAGGCAGCTAATGCTTCAACAAGTTTCGACTTTTCTTATGGACTTGGCAGAATTCTTTGGAAGATTGTTTTCTTCTTTCTAATTTTTGACAATTGTGAATACAGAAGGTACAAGTTCATCACAGATTCCTACTTAGGAAGATGATCAAGTTCACAAGACAGAAGCTAAATAATTAAATTCCTTATGTGAACCTGAAGGTGTAAAAATATAGCTGATTATTTTTATTTTTTTTTTTTTTTGTAAATACATGTCATTTTATGGCTTATATGAATGTGACTATGTACTGTATATCTGTTTTATTTATATATTTATATATGCTGATTTTCATAATGTAGATAGGCACACATAGACCAGACCTAGCCAGATAAGAGTGCTTATGGATTGACTTGAAATGCCTCTTTGTTTATTGTTCCATTTTGAATCACAGTAATAACTCTACAACCGAGACTACCCTAGGGTATCTGCTATAACTTTTTTTTCTGTCTTTCCAGCTTTGATTTTTAGATTAAGAAAATCTGTAATCTTTAGATTAAGAAAAACTGTTTCTAGAAACAGTTGTTAGAGTTTATAGAAAATATAGAAAGTTTCTAGAAAGTTTCAGAATTTCCCTATGGTCAAAAAAATAAGTATTTTAAGAGGTTTTGCTGCAGGATTATAACTTTTTAGATTCATTGTCCTCAGCATAGGTTTGGGGTTTTAGCCTTTCCATCTTCTGTATGTGTACAAGTATGAGGAACTTTGCAGAGTGTTGAATTTTGAAAAGCAAGAATTAGCCTACTGTTCTCAAATTGATGCCACTTAGGAACTATGGCAATCTGCACTTCTGTTGGCTATTATATAAAGATATTTTTTGTCATTAGTTTTCAATATGGTTTATATTTTAAAACAAAATACACTATGCAGATTCCATATTTACCTGTCTTTATATGTCCTCTGTTTTATCATAGCTTGATTGAGAAAACCAAAGTTAATAGTTAGTGGGAACACGTGAAATCTTTTCCACCTGTGTAGTGATATCTGACTGTTACTGCATTTTCAACACTCAGCGACTTTCCTTTTAAAACAGAGATGTCATTACACCCTAATGCATCAAAAATGGCTGCTAGGGCTGTGTTGAGTGTGAAAACTGAGAAGCAGATGGTAAATTATAAGAAACAGGAAACAGAAGGAAGAATGTAGGCCCTTTGAGACAGGCTTTAATGGAAGAGAGTCAGAGGAAATGGGGTTTGATTGAATGCAGAAGAAGGGCTATGCCTGGGATAGCATCACTGTCTCCAGCATGAAAGGGATTTAGGAGTGTGAGAGTAAGGGCTGATATTGGTCAGGACTTACTAATTGGGGCTAGTCTGCTGCTGAAGAACAAATGTTAGCTGGAAGTGAGTGCCAATAACTAAATGGGGAAGCAGACATAAACCCTAGGTTGGTTAAAAAGCTAGGGTTTTCAGGAAATTGACATATGAATGGTGATTTCATCACTTCAGTAATTCTAACTAGAAGTTGATAGATAGAAAGTAAGTAAGCTCAATAGCTGTTGCAATTTTATTTAGAGTAATCACTTTCAAAAAATTGAGCCCATTTTAAGATTTCATTATGTTTTACTGCTCCTCCAAGACCCTCTGGACAATGGACACCTGTGAGTGTCCCACTCCTGAATGCAGTTCTACAAAGCAGATGGAGGTGTGAGAGGGATAGCCCTTGAATGTGTGATGTCAAGTAACTACCACACACACATAGAAAGTTAGGAGTGTAGGGATTAATCTGCTTGATTAATCTCAATTTTAACTCATTGGAGCTAAATAATTGGTAAATAATAGAGGTCAAATTGAACACATTTAAAATTTTCTCTTGTAGGTGCAAACTATTCAATTTCTTATGAAACAAAGCATGCAAACACCATTTTTCTTCAAAAAAATTTCACTTAGTTCTTATTAACAAGCATGTGCTCAAGTGGCCTCTCAACCTGAGACAGACTAGTCAGTGCCTTGCACTTTTGTGCAAAGTTCTAATCAGCTCCATTTGCTGAAGCAGATTTGCACTATATGAAGGAAAGCACTATGTGGCCTGCACATGTGTTGGCTCTTTTCACACTGTGCTTGTATAAGCATACGCAAAACAGGTTTCACAAATACAGAAACAGACAAATGTCTTCAAACTGCCCAAACTCTAGTACTGGTTTTAGTAAGATTATGTAGCATAAATAGCTTTTGAATTACACTTTCAGATATTGACTAGATGCTTGTTGTTGAACTACTGAGTTTTTGAAAATGTGCTGAGGATAGGCTGTGTGGCCCTCTTTGAAAAACAGAAAATTCTTGAATGGGGTTACTAAAATGCAGTTGTTATTTTAACAAATTTCTGTGTGTTCAAGAAAACAAATGCATGAGTTTTATGATAGTGCAATATTTGGAGTCTATCTACATTATCTTCAGCTACTACTTAGACCAGAAACAAATGGAAAATTTGGAAAATGTGAAGTGAAAATTGTACTAAAACAGGATTCATTTTCTAGCACAGCTAATTAATATGACAATTTTCATCTGGTGCTGGGTTCATCAATTCATGTTGATATTGCAGCAATGTGAAAGCCACAAGTGGATAAAGAAGATTGACCAAGCTAACTACAACTGGTGGATGCAGCAGGGTGTCACCTCAGCAGGAGAGATGTTCCACATCTGTGTTCCACTCCATGATTCTTGGGGTAAATGGTATCTGCTGGTCTGCATTTGGAAGGCCTGCACTAGTGACTCACAGTGGAGGGAAACCATGCATCCCCAGTGAATGTCTAAAAGTCTTAAATCATCTGCCTCATGGGACTTGTTTTATGTACATTTTCAGGACAAAATGTGTGTGCATGGATGTGCACACATGCACATTTATTCCTTTTTCCATAAAACTTGTTGTTATTGGCTCAGTTATTGGTCCAGCTATGCAGATTCTGGAGTGACTAATGACAATATCTGAATTCACCTGTTCCTGCACCCTGTCTCTAGTGGCTTTTCTGGAAATGGAATCTCTTTATTTTGTTGGTATATATCTCACAAGCTACAAGAATGAGCTGGGATCACATTTCCTTTCCAAAGATGGGAGAAGTTTCATGTGGGGACAGTGACTTGTTTCTGCATCTAGTTCTGATTATTTACTCAGCACTGGGTTTCACCTGAAACAGGAATAAACAGGAATAAATGATGTGCTACAAGATTATTTTTTTTCCCAGATAATTTTCTTTTTTGCAGTAAACCTTAATATTGAGAGAAAAAGCTGTGTTGGGACAGAAAGGGAGGAAAGGGAAAGCAGGTAGAATTTGATTTAAAACTGTGTAGAATTGCAGAATTTAAAAGTGTTTCTAACTAGGAAAAAATACGGGCATGCTGCATATATTGTGTGAGCCTATAAGCTTACATGTATATTGAAGATATAATATGAACACTTGTATTTTTTAAGTCTTAAAGTAGTAAGAGTCCATGTATGCACACCTCCATGTGAGGAACTCCATGTACTGCAGTTGAAGTTTGATTTTGGGGCTGCTTTGTTGTTTTGATTTTGTTGAGGGTACAAAAGTTAAACATTGCAATGAGAGCTTGGACTTTATTTCATGTATATCAGAGATATTTTTTTACAGGAAGTCAAAGTGGTTTTCCTGTAGTAGTAGAGCAAAAGTGGTATTTCCTGTTCTGTGTGGGGTATTTCAAAGCAGCAGATACTTTAAGATGTCAGTCAGCATTTCCCTGATGGCTTGAAGATTTATCCCAGTCTACTCCAAACGTTCTTGCATTTCTAAGAACCATCTTCATTATTACCTAAAACAAAAAATGAGTTGAAAAACAGAACAGAAAAGCTCTTTACTGAATGAGGCTGAAAGTCTTCTATCTGTGCATAAGTTAATGGGAACAAAGCATGCCAAAAGCTGGGCAACACTGAAAAAAGATTCTTATGTGTTGACGAGAGTACTACATTCCTTGAAATTTGCTACGGGAGAAGTTCCAAGACCTGTCTAGTCTGGAAAAATGAATATTCTTCTAATTTATTTCCTCCTTATAAAAATCCAAAGGTAGTAGCTTGTAGTGTGGCAGAAAGCTAGAAACGAAATATGCATGTAATTCATTGATAGTTCACCAACCTTGATGTACTACCTGGAAATGACTGACTTTACATTACTCAGCATTTTAACACAGAAAATCCGTTTATTTGGGAAACCATTGTAGCTCCTGCAGTGTCTGAGGCTTTTGTACGCTATCTGGTCCACATGAGGTCTATGTTAAGGATGTAGGTGTATGGCATTTCTATAGGGAAAATAACTTACGACCTCCAACTATAGC